ATATTGGGAGTAGAGCCATAATGTTAGAGTAGAGGCTATGATTACAAAGGAATGAGACCCAAGTGGGCTAGACAGGGTCTAGAACAAAGGACAGAGTCATTATTAGAGGACCCAAGAAAGATAGTAACTAAGCCACGAATAAGTTCTGATTGAGAGGCAAACAGAACCTGACAGAAGGGGCTTGAAAGTAATCTGGTGGGCTTTAGGCCTTGTAAGTTAAGAGGCCCAGACTTATCTATCTCTTCACATAGGGTACCATCTTAAGGGAAGTGTGAACCTTCTTGGAAAAGGCACCCTGTTGACTTCCATTACCTAGCTGGTCTGGGAGGAGAGCTGGCCAGGTAAAGGCAGATAGCATCTCTAACAGGAAATTTACAGTTCTGCCTGTAATGTTGCTGACCCTACTTGGCCGTCTCCATTCAGCAGCGGCGGTCACCTTGGAAGCTGGGCTGAGTGAAGGGCTTTTCAGCTTAGAGCCAATAAGATCTGTGGCTCTGACCTGGGTGTCCTTCGACTCCAGGGCAGGTCCATTTCCAGAGATCCAACTCTTGGCTGGCAGAGCTGCCAGGGCTCTTCACAAGCTGATTTCTTCTGAAGCACAGGCTTGCAACACTGAAAGCCACTGCAGTGAACTGGCCTGTTGGGTCTCCTTGAGGGCAGATCACTGTACAGAACTGCCATTAATAGGCCTGCCACCTATCATCACATTTCTGATGCCTGGCTTTCTCTTCCTCCTGGTTTTTGTTAAAGCAGACCAGAGGATGCAAGTCAAGGGGGTGCCAGTCCCAGATCACTTACTGACAATAGCAATATCAAATGAAAACCTAGAAAGCAGTTTCAATCATTAGATAACAAATATAGCAGTTTCAATACTAGCTTTTTAAACTTTTTAACTTTTTTAATTTACCAATTGATTCGAATTACTTTCTGTTCTTAGTAACCTCAGCTAGACATACTTTCAGTTGGTACCTATAATACATTATTGGCTTCATCTGTTTACAGCGCCATCCCAAAGTACTGAATATAGTAGATGTGACTGAAAAAAGTCCATCAGAACCTATAGGAGGACAGCTAAGCACAGAACCAACAATGCTTTAGTTTTATGAGCAGCAACTCTGATTTATAAAACTGTGGATGACAAAAGACTTTCAGCTGCCACGTTTAAAATTATAAACACATTATAAACTCAACAAGAGGCACGTGCTTACTTCACATAGCATTTTTGAAAGCACCTGTAGGATTTTACAGAACATTTTACTCTTTAGGCCTCTGTGGCTTTCTCATTAAGATCCAAGATTTCTTTCTTTTATAACCTTCTGTGACTTCCACACACCCTCTTCAACTTACTTGAAACATTCCATCATTTCCATTCCACTCTAGAGTAAACTAGCCATCAGGATGAAGTCAATCTTACAAACCTTGTCCTTTCTTTATTCAAAATAACTCTTTCCTTTTAACCTTCCTTACCAAATGCACATTTCTATAACATTTTTAACACAAATTTAACATGCTGAGTATACAAAAGTTTACAATAAATTAGCAGTTATACCTAAATGACTTAAGATGCTGATATGATATATCTCTACTTGAACTCAATTAAAATTAAAATTGCATTCATCTAAAACAAGTACCAATTACCCATTGCTGTTTCATTGAGTACTGATTGCCGGGAAACAATTGGTCGAGCATGGTCTGTAGTCAGCCTGGGGCACCAGACAGGTTCAAGGAACGAGGGGGCCTCAAACTCAGAAAGGGGAGGCTCACAACCTCAGCTCCCCAGTTTTGGCACCATCTGCAAGGTGTCTGGCGTGCAACAAATCTTCCCAGGCAGACGAATCAATTAATTCACAGGCTTTTATTGGGGTTCCGCTCCTGGGCGAGGTTCCCTGGTCCCAACAGAGCAACAGAGTGGGGGCTGGGGAAGTCACCTATGACTTTCATCTAAAAGAGAAAGAGTGGACCAACCACCCAAGCTTAGCTGGCATGTGCTGCTCGGGCAAGTTGCAGAAAAGGGGAAGGTACTGCACCATGCCCTCAGACCTTCTGGAGATCTCTTCTAGAAGGCACAACTGATGACATACCACTGCCTGTCTTCATTCAAATGTCCCCCTAGAAAAGTCCCACTTGGGGCCGACACTGTGGCTTAGCAGGTAAAGCCACCACCTGCAGTGCCAGCATCCCATATGGGTGCCGGTTCAAGTCACAGTGGCTCCACTTCCAATTCAGCTCTCTACTATGGCCTGAGCCCCTGCACTCAAAAAAAAAAAAAAAAAATGTCTCACTGAGACAGGACTGAGAATACATCACTACCTGTATTCATTCAAGTTGCTCCTTAAGGAAATTCCATTGAAACAAGAACACCGGCCAACCTGGGGACAAAAATAGGTGTCCCATCTGAGACTATCAGGAGTTGCAACTAGCTCACTGGACAATCTTCCAGACATTAATTTCTGTTCCAAGGAATATCAATAACATATTTATTGTCCTTCATCAGTCTGAGTAGCTTTCAAAAATAACAGTGGTGAAAACCCAGAACCATATTCAAAGAGTAAAAACATCCTCTAGGTTCTTTAATCTGACAGTCAAGGTAGCTCTGTGCTAAGCCCAGATCTGCTCCTTCGGGTACCATCTACATTATTTGGAACAAGTGCAGATCTACATTATCATTCTGTAAATCTTACCTGACCTACACCAAAGCATGCTTTCCAAATGTCCTGTGTAACATATCCATGATGCAGGATTTGCATCTTAATCTAATGCTGATATTGCAAATCAGCATCCATTTTGACACATTTGGGCAAAGAACCAAAGCACTGTTCATATCTGACAGCCTAACAGGGTAAGGTCTGTGACAATGAAAAGAGACACTTTTTTTTTTTTTCATTTTTTCATCAACACAAAGCATAGCAATGTACCCTACTGAAGATCCTGAATTTAAATCTAAATTCTAAATCCGTTTCTGTTTCAATATGAAATCTTGTAAAAGAGCTGCAAAAGTCCCACAGTGTTTGACATACAAGATCAAGATAAAATAGGTTGTATCTTACCTAAAACAAAACAAAATGAAAAATAAAATCACACACAAAACGCTAATGTAGGATTGCCACCAGAGAAAGCTAACAGATCTCTGTCACTCCCACATCAGATCACCCTGCTTGTTTAACCCATTTTATGAAAAGAAAGATGACTGTGTATGCAGATGTTGCTAAAGAGACTAACTTGTAACCTGCAGGCATTTCTCAAAGCTGCACATGACGGAAGTCAAAACAGAAGCTATCACTGATTTGGTTCTGTTGTTAGACTGGTGTCACAGAAAGTTTTAACTCTCACTTGTCACCTGACAGCTTACAACTACTTTGGTCTGTTTTTGTTTCAGCTGGAGCTTAGAATTATATTGCTTCCTAGGCCTAGTTCCAGTGTTCTTGTTTGGTTTTTAAGCTTTCTTACAATTAATGAATCACTGAGCCGGATATTACCTAAGAAACAAAAATTCAGAACAAGCTTCCAGCCCTATATTGGCAATTATTATTTTTGCTAACTATCATCCAATCAGGAAAACACACATTTAAACACATTAATATTATCTCTTCACATTTCAAACCGGCAACTTTTAAAAATAGTAACAATATAAGATCAGAGTAAAATATTAGTGGGTAAAACTTTTCAGATTGAAATTTAGCAAAATATTATATCATTTTGATCCAGTAATCCCATTATGAGGAATTTATTCTAATGAAATAATCAGTGACTCAACAATAATATACAAATAAAGAGGATACTCATGGGCCCACATATAATAGGAAAACACTAGAAACCATCTTCATACCTGGAGTTATATTAGTAAATTATCACCCATCCATGTATTAAGCTATCATTCAGTCATTAATACTCAACATATTCTTACTATAAAACATTAATGTTATTTAGTATACATCAATGCATAAAATTAAGTAAAATAAAATTTGGTTTTCATCAAGTTTGTTAATAAGACATTCTTTTTTGATAAAGTTCCTATAGGATATAAGTTCCTGAGCAGCATAGATTTTACCTCAACTTGGAAAAGAAACCTAGAATATTGCAAAGTGGTTATAAAATATGGTGGAATGGCCAGATGTTTCTCTCTTACATTCAGGAGTACTTTTCCTGTTGTTTTGTTTTAAACCAATCTCTTGATAGTTTAAAAATAATGTTTATCTGTTTTTATTTATTTGGAAGGCAGAGCAACAGCAAGAGAGACAAAAAGAGACAGAGAGGGAGAGAGAATGAGAGAAAGAGAGATTTTCCATCCACTGGTTCACTCCCCAAAAGCTCAGAACAGCTGGAGGTGGAACAGGCTGAAGTCAGGAACCAGGAACTCCAGCCAGGTTTCTCATGTAGGTGTCAGGGACCCAAGTACTTGAGATCGTATATGATGCTTCCCAGGTGTGCATTAGCAGACAGGTGGATGGAAAACAGAGGTGGGGTTCAATACTAGACATTTGGATAGGGAAAGCCAGCTTTCAAAGCTTAGAATTACTCATTGTACCACAACTCCCACCCTTTCAAGTAGTTTTTTTTTTTTTTCCTCAATTGAGTGGTTTTTTAATGGCTGACTCTCTGCAACAGAGACCCCAGGCCCTAATTTTGAACAGGTTCTGATACAACCAAACCATGGTCCACATAGAGGAAATTGATAGGATCTACTGTCATACAGGGCCATATTCGCAGTCTATGACTTCCATTAGAAGTTGGCAACATATTGGGTTCAAAATCATTCATGCCATGTTTTCTAAACATGGCCCAAATTATATCATATTCAGTTATACATTGTAAGAAATTGCTTCTAAAATTAGTAGTTATCACTCATTAAACTTAAATCACATTTAATATATCTTGCAAAATTTCATTTAAACTCAAGCCACTTTAATATATAAACATCTCAGTATTGTAATTAGCCCAATTCTATTTTGTGAAACATACACACCCAAAAGTATATAAACAATGACATACAGAAAACTCACATAAAAGAATCCAAGTGGTCCAGATATATATGGTATTTTCATTCCCAAGAGATACTTGACTTGTGAAGTCACTACATGAGTGGCAGCCCCAGTTGTCATTGCGCTGATCACAGGTTCTGTAAGCAGAAATGTGGCACTTCCCAGTTGCAGCACAAACATGGCCACCTAAGAGCACAAAGAAAGGGTCAGCTGCTACCTCCAAATAAAATTTCCCAGGGTTCCTAGAGAGATTAAATCCAACACATTTCAACTTCATTTTATACACAGAGAACACATTTTGTAAAATTTATATGCTCAATACCTTGAGTTCTCTTAAGAATATTATTAGTTTCCAAGAAAGTCCAAATATAATTTAAGTATCTCAATTAAAATTAACACAATATTTTTTTAATATTGACTTTTCCTTTTTCCTCTTTTCCTATCCCTACATTATAAAATGGGAAAATTGGGTCTGGCTCTGTGGCGAGGTGGGTTAATGTCCCGGCCTGAAGCACCAACATCCCATATGGGCCCTGGTTCTAGATCCAGCTGCTCCTCTTCTGATCCAGCTCTCTGCTATGGCCTGGGAAAGCAGGAGAAGATAGCCCAAGTGCTTGGGCCCCTGCACCCACATGGCAGACCCGGAAGAATCTCCTGGCCCCTGGCTTTGGATCTGCACAGCTCCAGCTGTCGTGGCCAACCGGGGAGTGAACTATCAGATGGAAGACCTCTCTCTGTCTCTCTCTTCCTCTCTCTCCTCTGCTTCTCTTCTCTCTGTGTAACTCTGACTTTCAAGTGAATAAATAAATCTTTAAAAAAATAAAAAGGGAAAATTACTTAAATCAGTTAAATTTGATATCCGTAGAATAAAATGCAAATTTGTATTCCTATAAATGTATTTTTTAATCAAAAGGATACGATTCACTACTTTATAGTAGGCTTAACATCTCAAAAGCAATGGGGCCAGTGCTGTGGAACAGAAGGTTAAGCCTCTGCCTGCAGTGCCACCATCTGATTTAGGCATCAGTTCAAGGTCCAGCTGCTCCACATCAGAACCAGCTCCCTGTTGATGCACATGGGGAAGCAGTGGAAGATGGCCCAAGTCCTTGGGCCCCTGAACCCACGTGGGAGACTCGGATGAAGCTCCTGGCTCCTGGCTCCTGGCACTTGGCTTTTGGCTTTTGCCTGGCCAAGCCCAGCCATCTGGGGAGGGAACCAGTGGATGGAAGATCTCTCTCACACACTCTCTCTCTCCCTTTCTCTCTCTGTATCTCTGCCTTTCCAATAAATAAATAAATCTTTTTAAAAAAATCTCAAAAACATAGAAACAATAAAAATATTCTCTAAGTTTCTTCCAGCTTCTGTAAGCATGCTGTTTGACCAGATACTTCATCAAACAACTCCAGTAGGCTAATATTTAATATGAAGATATTAGGACTTATTTCTTCAAGGGTATGACAAGAAGTTCCTGAAAAAACAGATGCGGTCTCTTTTAAAAATATTTATTTATTTATTTGAGAGGTAGAAAAATAGAGACAGAGAAGGAACTCCAATCCTTTACTGCACACCCCAAATGCTCACAACAACTGGGGCTTGGCGAGGCTGAAGCCAAAAGTCAGAAACTAAATAGAGGTTTCCCACCTGGATAGCTGAAACCCAGATACTTCACATGCTACTTCCCAAGACATGCATTAAGGGGAAGCTGTAATTGAGGGTGTAGCCAGACCTTGAAACCAGAAACTCCAATATCAGATCTAGGCACCTTAAGCATTAGGTTAAATATCTACCCTTGTATTATATTTTAATTCCATTTTTCCACAAAAATTTTGAAATACCCTTGTATTTGAGGAAAACTAAGATGGAGATAAGGTAAAGGTGTATGTCTTAAGAAGCCTAGAAATCAGGATAAAAATCATTGTCTTTAAATATTTCTTTAGTACTTCTCACCTCACCCTCCATCCCAAAACTATGTCAGACAAAATCATAAACTCTGAGTACAAGCTGTGCACTGAGCTCTCCTGGGCAAAAGGTGATGGGAAGAATCATAAACCCCCTGCAACTCACAACACTTCAGTGATGAGTGTTAAAGAGAGGGCTTTCAGAAGACAGTCCACTCTCACTTACTGTAACTGTGTGAATTCAGTCACAGAAACTGAAAAGATAAAATCGCCTATTTTGAAAAGAACATTAAATTAACTTCATGATAGAGTGGAAAGTCTCATTATGTTCCTAAATCTGTATATATGAAATACACGAAATGGGTTTACTTTAAATAAAATGTTTTTTAAATTATCTTCATGACTATTCATTAACTGGAAAAATTAAACAAAACAGGTCAAGCCACTACAACCTCTTAATGCATTAATTATAATATTTAGGTGTGATCATAAAATTATTGTCAGAAAATGAGATTAACTATTAAAGAAGTCAGAAGGAAGAGTAGCAATGAGATCTCCTTTTACCAAGAGGTCACAGTCTTGAAAATGAGAAGTAAATAGTGCTATCTGGTACCATCAGAGCACAAATTACAAAATACATTACTTCCATATTGTAATTATACTGCAATTCCCCTAGGTCAAAATAATCAAGCTCTGAACTTGTGTTAGACTATATTTTCCTGGACTAAAGATTGAAAGCCAATGTGCTGACCCTAGAGTTCTACCACATCCTGGCTCTGCGATTAAATAAAACCCACTGCAATTCTCCAGGTCTCATCATTTATAAATTATGAGAGTGATGTGCGGCCTTTGTCACTTATATAGTTGTAAATTGGGAATAATACATGACAGGGCTTGGAAACCTGTAAAATATGCAGGAACATCATGAAGCATCATGCATATTTATCCAATATGGAAAACCAGCCACCCGTTTTGAAACTGTAAAAAGGGTCACATCACAGTTTCTAACTCTTGAAAACTTGAAAGAATTTATCAGTGCAGAAAGAAATATTTTTGAATTGTTTTCTGCATAGAGTGACCTTTTATTCAATATGTAATAAAGAAAAGAATATGTGTTGCCAAGGTAAAAATCAAGCCATCTACTGTCAGACAGGAAACCAAAGCAGCAGTTCTACTATAAACATTATTTCAGTAACTTTGCCTCAGTTTGTCAAAGAAATGTTCTGGAGGGAATACTCAAGAATGGATACAAGTGGCACACAGTGATCTATTGACAACTCTTATTTCACAGTCTGCTGCTTTTCATCCTGAAAACACAATCAGAAAACATAAGCATTGAACTAGTTAGTCCCAAGTATCTTTCTGTTGTAAATCAGTCCCAAATTAGGACATTAACTCTTACAGTGATGAGGATGAAACTAGCACACGATTGGGGTAAGATGAAAACCAGACAGCTGGATTTTCCTTTCAGCCAAATGCCCCAGATAAGTAATACAAATATTTGAAATTGTAAAGCCTGTTGGCATATATGGAATTTTACGGATGCATAAAATGTTGGAAAGTTCTTATCTGTATACCAAGTAATTTTTTAAAAGATTTATTGTTTATTTGAAAGGAAGAGTTTACAGAGAGGCAGAAGCAGAGACAGAGAGAGATTCCATCCACTGGTTCACTCTCCAAATGGCTGGGCCAATCCAAAGCCAAGAACGAGGCACTTCTTCCAGGTCTCTCAGGGACCTGGAAGCACTGGTGCAGGGGCCCAAGCACTGGGGCCGTCTCCTACTGCTTTCCCAGGCCATAGCAGAGAGCTGGGTTGGAGGTGGAGCAGCTGGGACTCAAACCAGCACCCATATGGATGCTGTCACTGCAAGTGGTAGCTTTACCAGCCATGCCACAGGGATGGCCACCAAGGTAATATTTTTAAAACTGTGTTTCTTTCTTTTATCTGAGAGGCAGAGAGACATAGATAGTGCTGAGTCAGACAGATAGATGAAAAGAAGTTCTCACATACTGGATCAGTCCCCACATGCCCACAATGGTTGAGGCTAGACCAGGCCAAAGCTGGAAGCTGGGAATTCAATCCAGATCACCTATGTGAGTGACAGGGAGGCAAGGACCCAATTATTTGAGCCGTCACCTGCTTCCTCCCAGGATATATATTTGCAGGAAGATTGAATCAGGAGTGGAGCTGGGACTCAAACACAGGCACTGCAACATGGGAGGCCAACATTCCAATATGCAACTCAACTACCAGACCAGATTCCCACCCTTGCTAAGTATTCTTAGCTTTCACTAATTTGATAATAAAAATTTGGGGGTACAATAAATAAATAAGCTAATAAAAATTTATCTTCTGTTTTTCATTTGTTTCCTAAATTCCAGTACCTACTTAGGTTAATGAGTGGCCATGCCCAAGAAATAAGTTACCTAACCAAACGTGGTCACCAACCACTTCCAGCTAAATCAGTATCTTCTAGCAGCAGCTTCTTTGTCATTTCCACAACCTAAGAGTTACAAACAAAAGACTTCCCAAAAAACTACAAGATATGAAAAGATTTCAATCATTTCAAAGTGTTGAAAATATGGAAACTTACCTTATAAAAAATTGAGAAAAGATGGAATATCCTCTTGTAAAACATTCGAAGACTCAAAATACTTTTGTAATATTCTATTTGCACATTTGTATGCTCTTAAAAAATCCTCGCAGCAAGGGAAAAATCCCTAAAATGGAGAGTTCTTGACTCTGAAAGGTCAACAAGTCCCTTAAGACCTCATTTTGATACACACCATTGGGCACATAAGGATGACTGCAAACATTTGAGATTTAACTGAGAAGAAATTATTCTATTGAATCACAACCTTCTGCATAACCCAAGAAAATGGTGGGCATCTTTTTTTTAAGATTTACTTATTTGAAAGTCAGAGCTATGTAGAGAGAGAAGTGTCAGAGAGAGAGAAAGAGGTCTTCCATCCGATGGTTCATTCCCCAATTGGCCATAACGGCCAGAGCTGTGCCGATCCAAAGCCAGGAGCCAGGAGCTTCCTCTGGGTGTCCCTTATGGGTGCAGGGGCCCAAGCACTTGGGCCATCTTCTACTGCTTTCCCAGGCCATAGCAGAGAGCTGGATCAGAAGAAGAGCAGCCAGGACTCAAACCAGCGCCCGTATGGGATGCCGGAGCTACAGGCGGCAGCTTTAGCCAGTGCCACAGCACCAGCCCTAGTGGTGGGTACCATAAGAGGAAGGACAAAGGGACAGTGGGAGGGAGACAGATTTAAGAAATTCTTTAT